GGCTGTTTGGCCGTATTTTTAAGGTTTTTCTTCTTAACGTTTCAACAGTCTCTGTGGCCAGTATCTTCAGAGGACAGGAGTCAGAACTCTGTGCTCTGGTGCAGTTTGTGGGATAGTTGCATATTTATAGCTGTGGGATCAGCTTTTTGTCATTTCCAGGCAGTTAGGTGATTATGGTGATCAGCGTGTTTTTTTGTTGTGGGTGTATTGTTGTGATAAGGGGGAGAGACGATCTGTCACTGTGATTGATGGGTGTGTTAGCTGGTCTTTTATGTGCAGTGATCACAGGTCCTTGTGACTGGGTAGAGTTCATTGACCTTTTGCAGGCTGTATTTTTCAATATTGGGAGCCAGGCTTTATTGAGTTTTAGACTTTCTTCTTTTTTTGTTGAAGCTCTGCTGGTGTTTGTGGATTTCAATGGCTTCCCTGTGCAGTCTACCATAATGATTGCTGGCGTTATCCAGTACTTCTGTATTTTGAAATCGGATTTCATGTCCAGCTTGTTTCAGGGCGTGTTCAGCTACTGTGGATTTTTCCAGTTGTTTTAGTCTGCAGTGTCTTTCATGTTCTTTGATTCTGGTGTGGATGCTGCATTTTGTGGTTCCAATATATACCTGGCTACAATTGCAAGGTATCTGGTATACTCCTGCAGTGGTGAGGGGGACCCTTTTGTCCTTTGCTGACCATAACATTTATTGTTGTTGTATTTTTGTGGTGGGCTTGAATACTGTTTGTAGGTTTGTGTTTTTTCAAAAGTTTCCTCATGCAGTCCATGACCCCTTCGATGTATGGCAGAAATACTTTATCTGTGGGTGGATGTTTTTCCTCTTCAGTTTGGTGTTGTTTTCTTGGTTTGGTGGCTCTTGTGATTTCATTCTACAACCATTTGCCTGTAGGGCTCAATTCAAATGGTTGAGTTTGGTGCTGAGAAATTGAGCTTCACAGTTCTGATTCGCACAGTCTACCAGTGTTTTGATTAAGCCTCTTTTTTGCTGTGGGTGGTGGTTGGAGTTTCTATGTAGGTCCGGGCCATGAATGCTTTCGAGAATACGTTCCTTAAAATATATTGCTTATTTTGAAAACCCTGTTAGGGTCACTATAAGTCAGTTTCGACTTCATGGCACATAACACACATGTTGCTTTCTTCCATTGACAGTGTAAATGTGCTTCCTGACGAGTGGTGAATGAATGAGAACAGGCTTGCAAAGGAGAGTTAAGTGTCATAATGCTTAGGAAGAACATAGACAGTTAAGATATTTCAAATATGATGTTGCTTGTGTTTCTAGAGGGAAATGAGAATCAAATCGCTTTGATTATGCCTGTGTAGGAGATGTTCCCAGTGGATTGTGTCTAATACAATGGTTCCCAACCTTGAGCCCGCAGATGTTCTTGGACTACAATTCCCAAAAATCCTGACCAGCACAAGATTGCTTCTTGGGAGTTTTAGTCCAAGAACATCTGGGGACCCAAGATTGGGAACCACTGGTTTAGTACATTAATATATAATTCTCGCCAGTGATACTTGTGTTGTTTGCTGCTTGGGAGCTAAGTGTAGGTTGTTATACCTTGCTTGAGATTTCCTCTGACCACTGTGAAAAGCAAGTCAATAATATAAGGTCCTTGGGAAAGGTACAAATCCAGATGATCATGCTTTAAGTGGCTTATTTGTACATTTGGTATAAATCAAAGGAAAGAGTAGCTGATCACAAGAACCTGTGTAGGAAGAAACTAACTAGAGAGCTTGTTTCTCCAGAAGTTACAATTGATCTGCAATGGGTTTTAAGAACTCTTGAACCAGTCTGACGACCCAGATGCTAATTTCACACAGTTTGTGATCCTGCCCTTCAAGATATTTATAAATAGTACATACAAAGGATGCAGCATTCATTCATTCTTTGATTTACAGAAGGATATTATTTGTCCCTGCTTACAGTATATCATCCATATTGTGTCTATTTAGAATTCTTAAGAGTCCTTTGGTTCTCAGCTTAATTAGATTGAGTTTTGCACTCAGCATAAGGATGGTTATCTTCTATGTGACCTCAAAGCAGCCATCTTTTTGTTTCATTTTTTAAAATATTATATTATATAGGAACCAGAAGAATGAATTCTACAGTACTATGTTAGTGGAATAAAAGACAGTGGCCTAAGTCCAATAGATAGTTCCGACTAGAGTAAACCTATTTAATCAATTGTTGAATGAGTCAAGACTCATGTAAATATCATTGTTTCTGTGTCTCTGCTCTAGCTGGAGACCTCTAGTTGGTTTCAGACCTAC